CCAAACTAATTGATGCATCCACGACCACAGTGACCCCAGCTGGGGTACCCCTCCAAAACAAGGGGGGACTCCTCTGGAAGGAAGGATTGATCATGGTACCCCGAAGAGGTCCGAACCCTTGTCTTGGGCAGTGTCATGACCACCCAATGGCGGGACACTTTGGGCCCAGCGAAGACCCTGGAACTTCTCCAACGTTCCTTTTCGTGGCCAAACATGGCCAAGGATTGCAGGCTCTACGTTAAATCTCTTGCACCATCTGTCAGAAGAACAAGCCATCGAGGAACAAGGCCTGGGGGGCTGCTGCGGCCCTTGCCGATCCCCGAACGACCTTGGCAAAGGATCGCAATGGGACTTTATAGTCGAGCTCCCCCCGTCTCAAGACCACACCGCAATCCTTGTAGTCATTGATCGATTATCGAAAATGGCTCACTTTTTACCGTTACAAAAGACTCCGTCAGCAGCCGAGACTGCGCAAATTTTTATCCAGGAAGTTGTAAGACTACATGGAATCCCGGAGGACATCGTCTCGGATCGAGGGGTCCAATTCACGTCTAAATTTTGGAGGGCACTGAGCAAGGCCTTGATATCAAATTTATCCCTCTCCTCTGCGTTCCACCCCCAGACCAATGGACAGACCGAGAGGACCAACCAGACCCTAGAACAGTACCTGCGTTGCTACACATCCTTCCTACAGGATAATTGGCTACCACTCTTACCCCTGGCGGAGTTCGCGTACAACAACGCCAACCATTCCGCAACAGGGCAATCACCGTTTTTTTCAAACTACAGATTTCACCCTGTCTTTCTCCCTGACTTGGTTCCTGAATGCCCAGTTCCGGCGACACAGGGCACGCTAGCTTTCTTCTCCTCCAACAATAAGATACTACAGGAGGCTATTGCTCGGGCCCAGGAGGACTACAAGAAGGCGTTTAACAAAAGACGAAGAGGGGACCTGGTGCTGCAGCCCGGGGATAAAGTGTGGTTGGCAACAACGAACTTGAAAATGCTATGTCCATCGAAGAAATTAGGACCAAAGTTCATAGGCTCCTTTTGCATAAAGCGGGCGGTCAATGAGGTGGCATACGAACTTGTCCTCCCTGACACACTCAAGATACACCCGGTCTTCCATGTGTCCTTGCTGAAACCAGTAATCCCCGATGCCTTCCCAGAACGAGAATCTCGACCTCCGGAGGCCATAACGGTCGAAGGGGAAGAAGAATTTGAGGTGGAAACAATCCTGAAGTGCCGAAGGAGGGGGGGTCAGACCCAATTTTTTATTAAATGGAAGGGCTATGGCCCTGAGGATAATTCATGGGAACCAGCCCATAATGTCCATGCACCCCGACTTGTCCGGAGGTTCCTTCATGATCACCCGTGGTGGAGAGATCGGGTGGGCACCCAGAGGGTTGCCCGTAGGGGGGGGGCAATGTCAGGAATCCCCGCTGCGACGGGCTCGGCGCAGGCGCAGTGCACCGCCCCGTGTCAGAATGCGGGCACTGAGACCTGGCCGTCCGCGGCGAGGGAGTTCGCGCATGCGCAGTAGGGACCGCGGGCGCGCACGTGGCACCAATGGCAGCGCAGGGCGGGATATTTAAATGTCCCTGAGCTGTCATTCAGTGCCTTCTGGTCTTTCCTTGTATCCTGTATCTGCGAACCTGTTCTAAGTAAGTTATTGACCCGGATTGTACCTGACCTTGTTGCCTTCTCCTGCCCAGACCCTTGCTTTGCCTGACCTCTCTCCTGAATGCCCCCGTTTGGATCTGACCTTTCGTTGCTGACCTGGCGTGTGACCCGACTACTCTCTGCCCGCTGCCTTGTACTGCTCTGTCCCCACTGTTACCGACCCGGCCCGTTTGACCCTGCACTTGCTCAGCCATCCATCCCGACGGGATCACCCGACCTCCTCACATCAGGCTCTTCCCTGCGGGAGCCCCTGGCGAATACCGCTACCACTGACAGGCGTGCTCAGTAGCCACGACCTGGTCTCGGGGTACTTCAAGTCCATCCCCACCATCAGGGGCTCTGGTGAACACGTACCCTGGGGCTTAGGTACCGTGCGCTGGGGACGCCTGGCCAGTGGAGTGCTAGTGGTACCGCCTGGTGGTCCCTTACAGCAACTTGTGCATGGTGATCGTCAGAGAACAGTCCACAACATTGCTGCCATTCTCGTTGTGTCATCAACGTAGCAGCCCAGGCAATCCTCACGTGTGATTTGAACATGTACCATGTTGCTGCCAAGTTTGTCCCCAGGTTGCTGACCCAGGAACAGAAGGAACACTGCATCAAAGTCTGCCAAGAACTCACATCAGTGTGCTGTGGATGATCCGTCCTTCATGTTGAGGATCATTACCGGTGATGAAACTTGGGTGTACGGGTTTCATGCAGAATTTCATGCTTGTGCATTGTTCTAACTTGCTGTTCTTGATGAAATAGCACATGTGGTAATGCACGTGGTCAGAATAGAACTAGTTACACAGCTCCCGATGTACGTAGGATGATGTCTTTTTGGCACACTGACTTACGAAGGTCGGTGCTCCCGTGACTATGTGCGCAGCCTTGTGCTACCATCTGTTGGCATGTTACAAAACTAGCCTTGAAACGTTTTGATACCAATATAAACTGTATATACACACACGGTGGCAAAAATTGTGGACACTTTTAGAAATGTTAATTTTTGCAAATTTGTAGGCCTTCAGGAAATGTTTTTTTGTACCAAATGCAAACGTTTATTATTTTAATTTAAAGATAATTTAATGCTAGGTTCAATACAAAAAAATAAAGAATTCAAATATTGGCTATACAAAAAAGTTATACTTTTTTTAGTCTAAATAAGACCAGGCCTTTTCTGACAAGTTTTGTTTACATGTAAAAAATCAACTTTTTAGCTAGAAAATTACTTGGAACCTCCAAACATACAGTAGATACAAAAAGTCTACACACCCCTGTTAAAATGTCAGGTCTCTGTAATGTAAAAAAAGAGACAAAGATAAATAATTTCAGAACTTTTTCCACTTTAATGTGACCTATAAAACTGTACAACTCAATTGAAAAACAAACTGAAATCTTTTTTTGGGGGGGGGGGGGGGCGTAAACATAAAAAATTTAAAATAATGTGGTTGCATAAGTGTGCACACCCTCTTATAATTTGGGATGAAGCTGTGTTCAGAATTAAGCAATCACATTCAAATCATGTTAAATAGGAGTTGGTACACACCTGCCATCATTTAAAGTGCCTCTGATTAACCCCAAATAAAGTTCAGCTGTTCTAGTAGGTCTTTGCTGACATTTTCTTAGTCGCATCCTACAGCAAAAGCCATGGTTTGCAGAGATCTACCATGGAACACAGTGATCATCAAGTGTAGAAAATTTGACTCAACAGTGAATTTACCAAGAACTGGACGTCCCTCCAAAATTGATGAAAATATGAGAAGGAAACTGGTCTGGGAGGCTCCCAGGAGGCCTACAGCAACATTAAAGGAGCTGCAGGAATATCTGGCAAGTACTGGCTGTGTGGTACATGTGACAACAATCTCCCGTATTCTTCATATGTCTGGGCTATGGGGTAGAGTGGCAAGACAGAAGCCTTTTCTTGCGAATAAAAATATCCAAGCCTGGCTAAATTTTGCAAAAAACTCATCTAAAGTCTTCCAAAAGCACGTGGGAAAATGTGTTATGGTCTGATGAAACCAAGGTTGAACTTTATGGCCATAATTCCAAAAGATATGTTTGGCGCCAAAACACTGACTGCACATCACGAAAAGAAACACCGTACCCACAGTGAAGCATGGTGGAGGCAGCATCATGCTTTAGGGTTGTTTTTCTTCAGCTGGAACATTAGTCAAGGTAGAGGGAATTATGAACAGTTCCAAATACCAGTCAATATTGGCACAAAAACTTCAGGCTTCTGCTAGAAAGCTGAACATGAAGAGGAACTTCATCTTTCAGCATGACAATGACCCAAAGCATACATCCAAATCAATAAAGGAATTATTATTATTATACAGTATTTATAAAGCGCCAACAGTTCGCACAGCGCTGTACATTACAATGGGAGACAGAACATGGAACAGTACAATAACAATACAATGCAATACACGAGGGGTTCGAGGGCCCTGCTCCTTGGAGCTTACAATCTAGGAGGAAGGGGATAGTGGTACAGGAGGAAATAGCTGTGGGGGATGGAATGGTAGGAAGAGTGGAGGAGGTTGGGAATTAGCAGGGGGTGGGGTAGGCTTCCCTGAAGAGGTGGGTTTTCAGGGTGCGCCTAAAGGAGAGGAGAGTAGGTTATAGTCTGATGGATTGGGGTAGGGAGTACCAGAGTATGGGTAACGCCCTGGAGAAGTCCTAGAGGTGGGCGGGAATGGCTTCACCAGAAGAAGATTAAAGTTTTGGAATGGCCCAGCTAGAGCCCAGAGCTGAATCCGATTTGAAAATCTGTGGGGTGATCTGAAGAGGGCTGTGCACATGAAATGCCTTTCGCAATCTGACAGATTTGGAGTGTGTTTTTTTGCAAAGAAGAGTGAGCAAATATTGCCAAGTCAAGATTTGCCATGCTGATAGACTCATAGCCAAAAAGACTGAGTGCTGGAATAAAATCAAAAGGTGCTTCAACAAAGTATTAGTTTAAGGGTGTGCACACTTATGCAACCATATTATTTTAGATTTTTATTTTTACTTCCCTCCACCTAAAGGATTTCCGTTTGTTGTTCAACTGAGTTGTACAGTTTCTAGGTTACATCAAAGGTGGTAAGTTCTGAAATGATTTATCTTTGTCTCATTGTTTTACATCACAGAAATCCAACCTGACATTTTAACAGAGGTGTGTAGACTTTTATATCCAGTGTGTGTGTTATCACAGTTTGTCTTTGAAAATGGATATACACTTTGTTTCATTTTCAAACAGTAATGTTTACACAGCAAATCAATATCTCTACCACTGTGTACTGCCTTTGTACACAAAAGCCCTCATTTGAGTCTTTTTTCATCTTTCTCTTTTGTAGATTTTTTTTGTGTTGTTATTACCATAATGTACAACAAAGATCTGGATGCGGAAGACAACCCACTAAAAAATGATGTAAAATCTCTGGAAAACAATGATGCAAGTGGAGAAAAGGATGTACACATTAAACAGAAGAGTGGGCTTACACGCTTCTCTCAAGTTCGTACAGCTGCCTTTTTTGGGGCTTTATTTCTTTGCCTCGCAGCAGTGTTTGCTTTTTCATTTATCATTCCTTGCCCAGTGAGACCCTTTTCCCGGAGAACATGGAGTGCGCAATATGACAATGCTGGTAGGTTTATATATTATGGTCATATTTATATTGCAAGGTACATGATGCAAGTGAACACCTGACTGGTTTTATATAGCTTACAGTATTTATAAAACCAAAACCCTCTTTTCCCAAATCCTATTGTAGGACAACTACTTGAGAGATGATTGGCTCCACTTCAACAGGAAAGCAAACCAGAATAAGATTGAAAAGCCCTCATCATTTGTTTTGTGTTTCTGACCATCCAGGAGTACACGTCCTGTTTGTTTCCCCTTGCTCTGATAATTGTAGTTGTTAGGCCCCCTTAGGTGACTAGGCCCTTGTGTGCATGTGTTCCTGGTCAAGTTGCTTACTTGAGGGGTTTTTTGCATGAAGACGTGCTGGATTTTGTGTTTGACTGATGCAGGCAACCCCAGCAGCCTATTGCTTTTTTTGACTTGTTCCTTCTGATGTGGTAGTGACGCTGCTAGTCATCAGTCACCCTGGAAGGTTCATTCCCATATTTGTTTGGCAGTAAAGCACCTATGAGCAGGTCCCCTCTATGGTAGGCCTGAGGAACACCAAGATGGTGCTGACTCCGTTCCAGGACCGGATGATGACACACTTCCCAGTGGGATGTGCACTTCCACCTGGCCACTTAAAAGCACGGTGTGTCTGCACTCGGGTATTCTATTCTGGGTTTTCATTGCTGAAATAGGCTGACATCAGGGCAGCATTGGGGCATTGAATGCAGCAGAAGCAGATGACATCTTGCTGTGGGCCCTAGGCTGTGTGCAGGGCCCACCAGAGGCGCAAACATCTTGTTGTGGGTCATATATGCCTTGCCGTTTTTCTGTGTGCATCACAAGTGTTTTTTGAAACAAACACATCTCTTCCAGAATAGTAAGCTCCGTTAATTGCTTTCATCTGCACCTTGTCTAATCTCATCTAATTACCATATATCTTTCACCATCACTAGAATGCAAGTCCTAAGGATTGTGGGACTTGTAGTTTCTTCGAAGGAGGTGTCAGTCTTTAACCTACAGACAGAAGTTATTAAGTGTTGCATGGCAAGACCACTTACTGTTATCTCACATATATATTATTATTATAGCCAAATTTACCACCCTAACTCCTCCCACAGTTTTTACACTACATAGACAGTAATATACCGAAACGTGCGGATTGTTCCCGATTGGTGTGCTATTACTTTGTGGAACGTTTCGCCGAATGGTTCACAAAATATCAGCGTTTTTGTGGTGAAATTGGTCCCATAGGAATGAATGGCGGAATGTTCAAAACTAGAGAGGGAGCTGACAAAAGCTAGAGTGGGAGCTGAAAAATCAGGACATGATTTCTAAACTGCCATCACTCCCTCATTTTCAAGCCCACCTACACAAATCTTATATCAAAGCATTCAGCTGTCCCTGATGCCACTAACAATGTCCATGGCTAAGCCATAGTCCTGATAGTTTTCACAATATGATCATTTGTTTGCAACTCACGCCGCCCATTGACATTCATTGAAACTCCACTCTAGTCAAATTTGAAGGCCAATTTCTAAACTGCGACTGTGCCTTCCTTTTTAATATTTCAGAGACATACTATGCATCAGAATGTAGGTCTAGGTCTTGTGATTCTCACAATATAAAGCTCTTCACTGTAGGATTTATAATTGTTAAACTACAACCGTTTGAAGATGGCAACCGCCAGTGAAGTGAGCAAGTTGGAGCAGTTTGTTTTTAACCGCTCTTCTCTGCCCTTGCTGTTGAGTGAGTTGCCATAGGAACCCAGGTGTGTGAGCAGGCAGCAGAGTGACAAGCCACTCCACCCAGTTACTCCGCCCACTCCAGTTGTAGGCTACTGGTGGAGGCAAGAACACTTCACACAATTTCCCCAGAAATTGTAGCTTTTCTAGTTTGTTATACTGTGCAGCTAGGTCAGTCCTAGCAACTAATTACCAGTTTGTTAATATGTAAAGTTCATTTGGCCAGCTCCTCCTTCCGTCCTGAGCTGTGCTGCCCTCCGCTGTGCACTGAAAATGACAGCAGCAGAGGAGGAGGCTGGCGAAAGGGGGGCAGAAGACTTTGCTGTGGGGGACGGGGGGACCAGAGGTCACTGCTATGGGGGAAAGGGGGGGCAGAGGACATTGCTGGTGGGGGAGGAGAATGGGGCCAGAGGTCACTGCTATGGAGAAAAGGGGGAGCGGAGGACACTACTGGGGGGAGGGGAGGTGATTTTCAGAGGACACTGCCATGGGCAGGTCCACCCCCATAGCAGTGTCCACTACCACTCTTCACATCACACTTAACACCCCCCCCCCCCCCCCCCCCCCCCCACAGTAATGTCCCCTGCTCCCCTTTCCCCCATAGCAGTGACCTCTGCCCCCCCCCCCCCAGCATTGTCCTCTGCCCCCCTTTCCCCAATTGCAGTGACATCTAGAACTCCCCCCCCCCCCCCCCCCACCAGCAGTGTCCTCTGCCCCCCTTTCCCTCATAGCAGTGACTTCTGGCCCCTCTACCAGCAGTGTCCTCTCTCTTCCCCCCCTCCCATGGACTGGTATTGTGAGAATCTGAATTCCCAGGAGGTGGCTGAGGATCAGGATTTTTTTTTTTTAAATGGTGCTGAAGCCCGGTGATCTTGATCTTTCATGATGTTTTTTTTTTTCAATCTCCTAGATTGTAAGCTCCAAGGAGCAGGGCCCTCAAATCCCTCTTGTATGGAACTGTATTGTTACTGTATTGTCTCCCACTATAATGTAAAGCGCTGAGCAAACCGTTGGCGCTATATAAATCCTGTATTATAATAATAATATAATTATAATGTTTAGGTTGATCTCCACCTCTCAGAGGTTGCCTACACTTGGTCTGGAGGATTCTTGTGAAAAGAGGATGTTTGGAATGGGAGGTTACCACCCTTTCCCTTAGCCCCAAAGTGAATACCGGGAAACTATACACTAAAGTGTGGAATTTCGGTTTTATTGGTGAAAAAGAAATTGCATACATTCATATTTAATTCCTGCAGTTCTGGATTAACTACAGGAAAGAGTTAAAAGAAGTTTTGTCCAGTACCCTTAAGGTGCAGGTGGTGGCCTTTTTGGGATTTTTGGAAATTAGACTGAGAAGGATCTATTCAACTTCTAGTCTTATATAGTGGTCCCATCTAGGGCTCAGGGCCTCCTAGAGTACCATGGCCTGCTGAATTAAAGATACTATTTCAGAATTAATCAGTTGTGGTCAGTTTCTACCTGATAGAACTAAATCTTACTCCTCAAGATCGATTACTGCATCAGGAGCAAAGAGGGAAGGTGCTTTGTGGGATGCAATCTCTAACACTGTGGTATGATCCCCAAGCCATGCTTTCAGGAAGTGCTACCATTTTGAAATGTTGTCCCATCAGGATTTGTCCTTCAGAAGGAAGATGTTGCAAGCATTAGCCCCCTGCAGGGTATGTTTACGTGTTTATCCTCTCAAGTAGTTGTCCTGAAAGATGATTTGTGAAAACCATGGTTACACTTACCGTTAATGGTATTTCTAAGAATCTTCCAGGACAGCGTCCATATTCCCGCCCTGATGTTTTTGTTTTAAGTGATGGTTTTTGAAACTGCTGCATTTTTACCTAAGGGAATGGGCTTTTTAATCTCTATTTGGTTTGTTTTCTTGTTGAAGGCATAGACCATCATCTCGCAAGTAGCTGGCCTGGAATATTCTCGGAAATACTGTTACCGGTAAGTGTAACAATGGTTTTCTCAAATCATCTTCCAGGACAACTACTTGAGAGGATTTTGTTTTGTTTCAGAGTGATGAAACCTCTCACTAGTTTTTATTGCTGTCTGTGTCCCAACTGAGTTTACCCTATCTATTTTTCCTATAGGCGCTGCTAAGACAGTGACGTGAGATTCAAGTTGCCATCACCAAAGAGATTAAGGGAAAACCTTCCAACGGGGACACTGGTTTTAATGACAACTAAGGGGGGTTTTCCTTCACTTTGGAAAGATTTTCTCTTGTGTCTCTGGTACAAAACATGAAAAGGAAATCTCTGCAATGGGACTTGACAGGTTACATCCTTGCTGAACTTGACCGACATGGTCCAAAGTTTAAAGATGATTTGTCACTACAAAAATATACACTTTGTTAACCCCCCTCCTCTCCCCAGGGAATCCTGTTCCCTGAATGGCAGGCTGTAGCTCCAGACTCTGTAAACTATAAAGTCAGCAGCTGTGGAATGGAGAAGAGGTGCCCCCCCCCCCCCTTCAACTTCTGTTCTAAGCCTGCATATGTCCAAAATCATTTTGTTTTTGCTGCTGTTAGCCACCCTGCAATAGGAAGTCAGATATGTTCATTCTCTATGGTCCTACTGTATGTAGGGATGTAGCAACCTTCACTTTCTTGATTAGAAGATGGACTACAGGTTATAGACTATGGTGTGTGCAGTGTTCATAGAGCAGTGCGTGTGACCACAGCTAGTGTGCACTGCTCATTCTGCACAAGTGAAAGGGAGAAAGGTTTGGGAGCGCATGGAGAAAATTATTCCAGACAAAAAAAAAAAAAAAAACAGGGCCCATTAAATAATGTATATGGATTGTTTTTGCAAAATAATGATATAGCTTGGTGTCAATTTGCTATATTTCCGCTTACTATTCCTTGGCTGCATTTTTTAGACTGTTTACCTTTATTTTCACATAGTAATTCTGCAAATAACACACTTCTTGTCCTATGGTGGCTATATTCACTCACTGTATTGTATCTCTGGAGGAAAACTGTTTGTCACCCAGGCTAGACTCCAAAGATATCTTGCTCTCTATCTTGACTACATTGGTAGTTGAGGATTAGTAGTTTACAGAAGAATATATAATTAATTTGTGCTTTAAGTTCACCTCACCGTAAGTGACAAGGATACCGCGTTTCTGGAAAGATCGTAAAGTATTTCTGTACTTAATGAAAATGTCCTTTGCACTAAAAATGAATACTAGTGCAGCTGTTACATCCTGGGACTGGTGAGCCAAAATGTATTCGATATCTGTGCTTGGGTTTAGATATCCTTTAAGAAAAGGAAAAAAAATAAAGATTTGGATTCATATTGAAACTTTGGTACAGAAAAATGTATGTATGTCTTTACCAAAGTATGATGTTCTTTCTTTTTTGTTTTGATGCAGTTGGCTACATGTTCCTTGCTACTGAAGATGTGAATGGGGATAATGTGCAAGATGTTGTTTTTCTTTTTAAAACTGATAATTCCAGCAACTTGAATATATCCTGTGCAGATGGAGGTATATATTTTACATCTTGTTTGCATGTGAAACTTTTTGGTAACCTCTTTTCTAAATGTTGCAAAATTACTGAAAGGAGGAGAAGCATTATGGAATACCTTCTCAAATATAGGATGCAGGCATGACCCATTATGAATCAGCAATCTTTCAAATACAATAGAAAATCAGTATCCACAGCATTGCCCTTCAGTTTTTTTGCCTTGTACTTTTGCTCAGTGGTTTGTCAGAGTCTTTTATAAATTTTTCTACTAGATTATAAAATTATCATGTTACATTGTGCAGACATGTTAGATAAAATCATTATAGTCCAATTTCATCTTTTGGATACAAAATTAATAACAGTTGCTAGGCATCTTTATTATTCAAAAATTAAGCTCTGGTTGCAATGCTTCTTTAGTGATTTCCCTCGCAGGCCGACCACTCTACAACCAATCGCCATCCATCTTCTGGAAGGAATGTTGCCCGTCCTCTTCCAACCCATTTATTTCCTTTAAGTCAGTCATTCCCGCCACCTTGAGGGTACATTTTTACACCAGCTAGGGCTCACAGTTCTGGACAGTGAGGCACATGAGCAACACACTGTCCAGAAGTAAGGACCATTGACAAGAGAAGAAATATCTAGGACATCACTAGACTGATGAGCCACTACAAATGGCAAAACTAAAGGAAATTTTAAAAAAAAGAGGGGTTATCAGGGAGGGCTTTTACTGTATATAAAGATGACATTAAGAAAAGTCAATATTGAGGAAAAAATATAACCACCGCCATATAAAAAAAGTCATAAAAATGAGATCATTATTGTAAAAACACAAATTTGTATGTACCTTGAACTGTAAGGAACTGGTCTGATGCATTACTACCAGTATACGTGGTACTGTTTTTCTTTTGAAATGTCATACAATTCAGGCTAATTATCTTCACCTTGGTGTCTCCCTTAACTCAGCCCAGTTCTTCTTTCCTCACATAATCACCTTTCACATGGGACCATATCCATATTATTGACCTGTCTTACTCTGTGGGGCAACCAAAGTCTTAATACATACCCTTGTCATTTTTTGCCACACCTGCTTAAACATCCTCTTGTTCAGTTTCCACCAACAAAACTTACCTCTACTGGCTTTCTATTATAGCTGTTGGAAGATGTATCTATCCCTTCATCCACTCCTTATCTGACTTCAGTTACCTGCCAATGATAGTCAAGTTGTCATACTTCCAAACCCCAAAATCCTTAAAGTGTCATTAAACTGATATTGCAAACTAGACATGGATCACCATCAAATGCAGTCTAATAATAATCAGCAAACATGAAAATAAATGCCCCAAATCCCATTTTCTCTCTTCCATATACCGTGATCACCTGACATCCGTTATTTTTTCCCCACCACACTGATATTGCGGAGAAGCAAGCACAAATTCTCTGATGAAGCCCACATACATCACTCCTGTTTTCGTGTACCTGCAGGGTGCCAGCCGGCTAGCAGGAGGAAGGAGCCATGTCAATCACCCCTTCTAGAACTGCCCTGCAAGCAGATTCAGTGGTGACATGGGGCAGAGAGGGAGGACATGTAATCCAAAATCCTGGAGCTGCCCCTCAAGCTAACAAAGAGTTCTGTAAGGCAGCTTCCAGAGAAAGAATACAAGAAGTGAACTTTTTTTTTTTTTTCTGTAAACTTCTCGAGCACGCACACAGAAGTGGCAACGCAGCAATCAGAGAATCGGCTTCTATTGCGTTGCCACTAACAATAAAGATGTCAGTGGAAACAACAGGATGTTTATGGATCTGGTAAACATGGATGAAGAACCTCTGCAGCAAAGTACAGAATAGTCTTTTAGAGAAAAATACACATAGAATATTTTTGGTTCTAGTTATTTTTTTTTCTTTCTTTTTTTTTTTAAACTAACTTGTCATACTTTCCTGCTCTGTGCAAGGGTTTTGCATAGATTAGCCCTGATCCTCTCCTTCTTGGGTCCCCCGCTGACGCTCTTGGCTCCTCACCCTTGACCAGTGCCCAAAATTGCAAAGTGCTTGCTATGGGGGCACTAGTGCGTGCTCGCTCCTGAGCTCCGCTCTAGAGCTGCAGCTCAGCCTGCCCCCTCTTTCCTCGTTGGCTCACTGGCTGCATTTGACAGCAGTGCAGTGTCTCAGCCAATGAGGAGAGAGAGAGACCTGGGACAGTCGAGGCTTCTGTGCAGCATTGCTGGATCAAGAGGGGGCTCAGGTGAGTTTTTTTGGGAGGGGGGGGGGGGGGTTTGTAGCGGAAATGCACACAGAGGGTTTTTTCCCTTCATGCATAGAATACATGAAGGTAAATAACCTTCAGCATGTACAACCACTTTAACGACACTTTGAGCCTAATCTTAAACTACTTTTCTGCTTCTCCTCTGACCTATATATAGTTTTCCCACTCTTGCATAGCTTGCAGAATTGTCTTTGAAAATGTCTTTAGGAATTCTTAAACAGGTTATACTGCCACTAGCAGGCAGTTGGGATACTGGCAAACAAAAAATGTTATGCCAGTTCTGTTTAACCCTATCTCAAACCATAATGCCTCAGTTTTTTGCAAGTGTTGTTTTGAGGTTGGACACCTTTTTCTTCAGTTGCTGATAAAAAAATCTATCAATAGTTTGCTAGCTTTTTATTTTATTTACTTTATTTTTTCTTTAACCATTTGAATACAAGGTAATTTTACACCTTCCTGCCCAGGCCATTTTTCAGCGCTCTCATATTTTGAATGACAATTGCGCGGTCATACAACATTGTACCCAAACTAAAATTTTATCATTTTCTTCACACAACTAGAGCTTTCTTTTGGTGGTATTTAATCACCGCCGGGGTTTTTTATTTTTTGCTAAATTATCAAAAAAAGACCGAAAATTTTGAAAAAAAACTCGTTTTTTCTTTTTCTGTTATAAAAGTTTGCAAATAAATAATTCTTCTTCATAAATTTAGGCCAAGATGTATTCTGATACATTTCTTTGGTGAAAATAACCCAAATTAGGATGTATTTTTTAGTTTGTAGGAAAGTTATAGAGTTCAGAAACTATGATATAGATCTGAATATTGATCAGTCCTGAAGTCCTGAAGTACTGACGGCCAATCTAATTTCTTGAGGTCCAAGAATGTCAGAACAGTACAGATATCCCCCAAATGCCCCTTTTTGCAGAGTAGACAGTCTGATGTACTTCATAAGAGGAATGGCGAGTTTTTTGAAGTTTTTTTTTTTGTCATAATTTTTCAGAAAATGAAAAAAATGCAAACAATTTTTTTCACTATTGTTTTTTTTTTTTTTTTACATACTGTCACCAGTGCAGTACAGCGTCTTCATATAACTGGCATGGCGGTGATCAGGGACACTGGTAACAGTATGAAAAAAAAAAAATATATATTTTTTTTTTAATTTTTTTATTCCTTTTATTCTTTTTTTTTAAGATTTTTTTTTCATATTTCACTATGTCCAAAGTAGTACAATGTTACCATAGTGGTAGGTTATGGTAGTAACAAGAAACGCACAGCTAAATTAAAAAAAAATGTTGTTTTCTTTTTTTTTGCTACTTTGGGCCAGTTTTCATTTGACAATAAAAAAAATCAGGAGATATTCATTACCATTTACCACCAAATGAAAGCCCAATTTGTCCTGAAAAAAAAACAAGGTATAATTCACCTGGATGTACAAAGTAGTTGTAATGATATGTACGGTTTTACGAACACATGTCAAAATTGCAAGATTGTGCTTAGGCGTTAAGATTTGTATAACCTTTAGGCGTGAAGGGATTAAGGATGTTAAGTCTCAAACATGCACTCCTCCCTACAGAGGAGTCGTTTTTTCCCTCACAGTTGTCTTCAGTCCTTGACTCCTTTTATCCCTTTCCTTCTCCTGAGATTCTTACTGATCTACAAGCTTGACAGGGATCAGTCCCTATGATTCCCTTCCTTAGCAAGGACCTGACTCTTCTGTATCTTCCGAACTCTGTTCATAACTCTGTTCCTGGTGTTTTTTCCTGGCATCCGCGTTGCGGAACACTCATGAGACCTCTTCTGAAGAGAATCTGTTTTCTGTATTCTCAAAATTTGGGCAACGCTGAGGGTCCTATCATCTGCACACCTTGTCTAGATATGATTTGTGGCACTGTATTTCTAGAGTCAAGGTATTGCCTTCTGCATCTCCTCAACTGATCATGTCTACATTGAAGAGTAAGCGTTCAGTATGTTAGCGTCCCTCCTTCCCACCCTGAAGGAAGTATCCATCATTGAAAAGTATTGTACCCCCCTGGATAGTCAGCAGGCAGGAATCACTGTTACGCTTCTGCAGATTTCCCCTAAGAGGGATAGTGTAAGTCAAGAGACCCTCTTGGGACCTGATTACTGGGAGATTGGTCTCCTTTCTGTTACTGAGCTGTGGTTTTTTGAGGACTTCTCTACATCCCTTCCTATTTTCTATTAAATTAATATTTCTAGTACTAACACTAGGATTCCTGACCCTCACTCCTCAGCAGAGGATTTTGCTTTTTATGGGAATAGGTTAGATAATTGTTGGTTCGAATCCCAACCACGGCACCACCTGCCTGGAGTTTGCATGTTCTCCCTGTGCCTGAGTGGGTTTCCTCCGGATACTCCGGTTTCCTCCCACACTCCAAAGACCTGCTGGTAGGTGAATTGGCTCCTGTCTAAATTGGCCCCTAGTATGTGTTTGTATGAATGTGAGTTAGGGACCTTAGATTGTACACCCCTTGAGGGTTAGGGACTGATGTGAATGTACACTATATATGTAAAGCGCTGCGTAAATTGACGGCGCTATATAAGTACCTGAAATAGGCCGAACAGACAGAACCCAGAAGAAAGATCAGGTGAAGATGGAAGTGCCCAAGTGCTGACATCACAGCACTGGAGGGCTTGCTTTTGACATGTAAGTCTGTCATAATGTGCTAGTATGCTGTGCACATTATGGCTTAACCACTTCATGTCCGGACACTTTTACCCCCTTCCTGTCCAGGCTAATTTTCAGCTTTCAGCGCTATCACACTTTGACAATTGCACGGTCATGCAACACTGTACCCATATGAATTTTTTATCATTTTTTTGAGCCCGATAAAGCTTTATTTTGGTGATATTTATTCACCACTGGGATTTTTTTTTTTTTGCTATATACATGAAAGAAAAAAAAATTTGGAAAAAAGTGTTTTTATAAAATTTTGTAAATAAATATTTCGTCATAAATCTTGGCCAAAATTAATTCAGTTATCTTTTTAGTAAAAAAAAAATAACCCAAATTAGTTTATAACCAAAAATTATAGGAGGTGGTTAAACAACCCTGGGGCCTTTTTTTTTTTTTAACCCAGTGCTTTAAAATGTGGTGGGGGGGACTGATGGGCATTATTACAATACAATTATTGTAGCTATGCTGGATTAATAAAATGTGTACAACCTTACTCAAATTCAGTAATGCGTTTTTCTCTTTACAGATTTTAAGTCTCCATGCTTCTTTTTATCTGCTTTGTCCGGGACAAATGGGAGCACTTTGTGGGTCAAACCAGTTAGTGATGACAATATTCAGTTAGTGCAATGTGGAATCCATAACCTTGGTGGTGCAGGACATTCTGGTTGTCTATTAATTGGAAGTTCAGAAGTCATATTAGCCGTTGATGCAAAATCGGGTAAGTCCCTTTTCAGTGTAAAAATATCTGTTTATCAGATTGGAGGATGGACTTGTACCTAATGGCAGATTTATACTTCCACTTGCCATATAAAAATATTTAAAGTAATTGTTTTAAAGAAGCCTACATAAGGCATACTTTGTTTCCTGCCTCTTGGGTATTTAAAGCTGAACTCCAGCCTTCTCTTCAGTCTTGTACAGTTGTATAGGCTCCTCTTCTATACTGAAATTGCCAACTCTTATTCCATTGCACAATGTGAGCTTCTCAAAGTGTACATTAGAAGCTGCAGCAAATAAGATAGCACTTGCATCATTTCCTGGTTGGGGGAAGTTCTGCATCATCTAGACTTTCCTCCCCAGCCTTACTGTCTCTGGTCCTCCCCTTTCATTATTTGGATATCAGTTCTTTTAATCAGGGGGGCTCAGCATCACATGTGGGAATTGCCTAGGGTAGTCTGCATGCAAATGCATCCTGCAAAGGAATGCCCACTGCTCCAGACTGATATCCACTCATCAAAGCATTTTGAGATTGGCATAATTCCTCCCAAGAAGCAAACCACTGCTTGCATTGGGGAATGATGGCCCTTGAGAGAGAGTACTGAGGCAGGGCGCTGCAATGTTTTCAAGAAAATTTGTACACCCTGCTGGCCTCTCCTGCCAGACCTCATCTTTCTGCACTGCATAAAGAAGCACAGATACCCAGTGATGTCCCTGGGTATACAATAAGGTATGTAAGGTTTTATTTAAAACTGTCATTGGCATGTTGATGAGGAAGGGAGGGTTGGGGCAAGGTAGTCAAATATAAACAGATTCATCTTAAGCTGTATCCCATCTTTGAGTAGACTTGTGATCAGATGGTCCAGATATCAGCAGTAGCATATCTGTTAGTGGGACACCGATATTAGGAAGATGTCTTGCGATATCCCAGGCAAAAAGGGATATCTTGGTCCTCCAGGTTGGGGGCATTGGTACCAGAAAGAGAGAACCGTCCTCTTTTTACTTACAACTTATGTGATCAGATGGTCCAGATATCAGCAGTAGCATATCTGTTAGTGGGACACCCATATTGGGAAGATGTCTTGCAATGTCCTAGGCTAAAAGGGATATCTTGGTCTTTCAGGTTGGGGGCATTGGCACCAGAAAGAGAGAACCGTCCTCTTTTTACTTACACAAAGATGATATACAGTATATTGTGATACGTTATGTTAATCGGTACAAACAAGATGCTTTGGGGTCAATTCCCTAAGCTACATGAATTATTTTAACTACATTTGGTGTTTTTATATTAAAATAATTTTCCCTTTAATTTGTTCAGTTCTTATGCATGAATTTTATATAGTTATGCATTGCTCGATATGTTTGTCTAAAGTGTATCCAAAGCCAAAACTGTTTTATTTTTCATTTTGAATAAAATGTAGAAGGGATAGAACTTCTGTCTGTCTGAATTTTATTGCTGGGGAGACTCACCCTCTCCAATTTTTCTGGTGACCACTTTCAACAAGACTGAAAGTGAGGGGGAGAAACTGAGGGGAAATCTAAGGACGACACTTGTTCCACTGACAACTGTCTAAGGCTACATTCACACTGTGGTTAGGGCTGGTACGAATTGTAGCGGCCGTTTCTGCTACAGCTCTCAGTGGCTAAGAGACCCCAGAAGAGGAGGATCAGGGCTACTCTGAACAAAACCATTGCACAAAGCAGGTAAGTATAACACAATTGTTATTTTTATGGAAAAGTGGAAGGTTTACAATCATTCTAATTGATGGTGTGAATGTAGCCTAAGAAAAATATTTCCTTTTTCTTCCTGTTGTGTCTCTGAGACAAAAAGTGAAAGAAGTTCTCCCTAATTGGATAGATTGTGGAAAAAAAGAAAAACTTGACAGGAGTTTTGCCTAGGGATGCACCGATATATCGGCCGCCAAAAATAGGGTTATCGGCATTTGGTCGATAGAAAAAAAAAAAGGCACCGATAATGGCATGCTGCGTCCCATAGACTGCAGTGGAAAATAGCATCCCATTAACTTCAATGCAAAAACGCCCCCTAGTGACTTCAATGCAAAATCGCTACCTATAGACTTTAATATAAAATCACATCCCATAGACTTCAATGTAAAATCGCATCCAATAGACTTCAATGCAGAATCATGTCCTATTGAGTTCAATGCTAAAACTCCTCCGAGTGCCTTCAGTCCCATAGACTTCAATGCAAAATGCCCCATCGTGATTTCAATGCAAAAAACGCCCCGTAGTGACTTCGGTGTTAAGTCTGGAATTTCAGTGCACCACTAATTTTAATCATTCCCTACTGCTTTTAAAAACCAATACAAAAAAATACTTTAGAGATATTTTAAACATTGGAACCCCTTGTTTCTCCATGTGTATGAATCTTTATTTTATTTCATGAAATGTTATTTTATCTCTTCCTGGAATGGCTCTGTTCCCTGCTCTCCTCAATAGACACTTCCTAGGCCCTCATTATCCCCAGCCAGAAGGTAGTAACCTAAAAGTAGTAATAAGCTGTGCTGTAATATCTACTACAAAAAAATTTTATATAACATGCACACACTGTAATTTCAGGTGATCTTCTAATACCATGTATAATTATTTATTTTGATAATATAGAATAAAATATGTAATTAAATTAACTATTAAATTATTTGTAAATTGTGAAGTGCTATAAAATGTTTGCATGAAACATCAGTGTGTCTCATGTATACAATCCTTGCTAAATTTACAGCTGTCATTTTGTGAAACGCTGAAAAGCTCTGATATGCGTGTTTATATTCCAGGAAAATATTTTGTGGAGAAAGCCAACTGGAATTGCATTTAACTCAGTGGTTTTAAAGCCTTTGCTGAAAATCCCTGATATGGATGAGGATGGTATAGAAGATCTGATGATTATTTTAACCATCGAACAAGAAGTAAGATAAATTCCATAGCATAAACCCTACAGATGAACTCTGGGATAGGCAAATGTTGTCTATTTACAAGAGTCATGTATTTTTCCATGATTATTGGTGTGCTTTATGTGTTTCTTCTAGATCTGAAATTAGAACTTTGCCTCTCTGCAGGAGTTTCCTGTAATAAAGACCAGTTACTGCAGTCCTCTACTTGTGATTGGTCTTGTTTCCACCCCCACCCCACCTAGCTTTCTGCAGGCAGCCTCTGCTCTGTGCACAGGCTATCTACAGCTAAGTGATGATGTCACTGCTACTTTTGGGTGTGCAAAGGCATATGGTGCTCACAATGTAGATTTATTTTCTTTGTAGCTATTGAATATATAATGTATTTAAATGGAATTTTTGCACCTGGAGTCCAGCTTTATGTCTTGCTTGTATTGTTGAATGCCTGTGTTTTCTTCATTTATCTGTAAAATTTGAAAACAAAAATATAGCAGCAAAGAAAGCAGATTAATTTATTGGCTTATATAGTTTTATCCTGTATTATATAATTTACTACTGATGTTAACATGTATGGGTTGGAGTTTATGTACCTTACATTACCTATTTATGATTTTATTTATTTGGAGAAACTTTTTTTAAAATTTTGCGCTCTCTCTCGTGTTCAAAAAAAGCCTTTTTTTTTTTTTTTACAAGAGATCGATAACTCAAGGTGAAATTTACACTTAGAACTGAATGGCTTATCACACTGAGTTATACCCTACCTGATGGCTGAGTTGTGTGTTTTTGCAGGGAGAGAAAAAAGTAACCATGGTCCTGAAAATACCAAGATAGTGGTACTTAGTATGGAAACAATGTAAAAATTTTTATAATAAAAAAAAATATGAAAATTGTTTTGGAGAAACCTACATAAAGCATACTTTGCTTCCTGCTTGGGTATTTAAACTGAACTCCAGCCTTACCTTCAGTCTTGCACAGTTGTACAGGCTCCTCTCCTGTACTAAAATTGCCTACGCTGATCTTACTGCACACTGTCAGTTTCTCAAAGTGTACATTAGAAGCTGCAATTAATGAGAAAAAGCTTGTCCCATTTCCTGGTTGGAGGAAGTCCTGCATTAGCTAGACATTTTCCTCCCCAGCCTTACTGTCTCTGGTCCCCCCCTTTCATTATTTGGATATCAACTTCTTATAATCATGGAGGCTCAGCTTCATTTGTGGTAATTGCCTAGGGTAGGCTGCATGCAATTGCATCCTGCAAAGGAATGCCCACTCCTCCAGACTGATATCCACTTATCAAGTCATTATGATATTGGCATAACTCCTCCTTATTCAGAAGGTGCAGCAAGTCAGATAGAGCCCATCTCATTTACTGGCTGGAGGACATCTAGCTCTTTCTGCTCTGACCTTATTGTCCCTGACCTGCCCCTTTTATATATTTGGATTTCAGCTTTTTCAATCATGGAGCCTCAGGATCACATTTAGACATAAACCTACCGCAGTCGGCTTGCAAATGCAGTTCGACTAGGAGCACCTACTCCTCCAGACTTACATCAACCCATCAAAGCCTTTTAATATTTGCATAACACCTCCCAAGAGCCAGCCCACTGCTGCCATCACAGCTGAAGACTCTTGATGTTTTTAGGAAGATATATACAGCACCCTGCCAGCCCCTCCCACTAGCCATGATCTTCCTGCATTGCATGGAGAAGCACAGACACTTGATGGTGTCACCGAGTCTAAAATAAGATGTTTCGTTAAAAAATTTAATGTTTTATTTAAAAACTTCATTACATGTTGAAGAAGGGGAAATGAAGGAACCAAAGAAGGCAAATGCAAGCAGGTTACATTTCAGACTCTGAAATGTAAAAATACTATACACAAGGAACACTTTCATAGCTTACAAAGTTATTGAGTTACAATGTATACAAAATGAATGGCAGGTTACAATAGGGGGCAGCACAACCTCCTTCTTGGATGTAAGCCCTTGTGCCAGGTTTATTTTTCTGTACTTTGGCATGCCCTACGCCATCTGTTTCTTATCTGACACTGATGAGGCTGCTCCTCAATATAAAAGCAAATCTAAGTTTACCTATACTTTAGAATCTGGTTGAATTTCCTTGTTACTTGCTCATCAGACTTGTGGATGGCTGTTATAACATGCAAACCAGAACCCATACCTATGTTTTCTAGACAACTTGTCTCAGCTGGTTCTTTAATCAGTTATGTGTATTGACCTTTTGCCAGAATTTTTTTCATACCCAGCAATTCTTGTTTATCTTAATTTACCTGTTGAAAATTGCTAACCATTCATTTATATATTGAACGTAATGGCAACAGTGATGAGGAAATGATGACAAAGGCATTGAGCAGTTGATGTTGCACATGTATAAAAAGTTGACGGACAGTAACACAGTGTGACTAGGACATTTATGCACCTGATGACTGATATATATATATATCCACTTTAAGACCAGGCCTTTTCTGACACTTTTTGCTAACATGTAAAAATTTGTGTATTTTGATAGAATATTACTTAGAACCCCCAAACATATTTTTATTTATATATATATATATATATTTTTTTTAAGCAGAGGCCATAGAGAATAAAATGGTGGGTGGGTGCACATTAAAATACCTAATTGTTTTTTTTACAGTTTCAAAGATGATATAACGCCATATAAATAGATACAAAACATGTCACGCTTTCAAACTGCACACGCCCATGCTATGGCAACATACATTTGGCGCTGTCTACATCCAGGGAAACTGGAAGTGATGAATGCGCATTGCTTACGGTTTTTTTCTATACCATAGAGGTGATCAGAGCCGTTCGGGTCTCTGATTACCTCTATGGTCAGCTTACAGAAGCTCCAGCTGGTCACTTGGGTCTTCCAGTGGGATTGGAGAGACCTAGAGAGCTGCAAAATGTGGCTGGAGGGGGGTTGCCCCCTCCTGCTGCTTTTAAAAGCAATCCAGCAGATAATTAGCCACTAGGGTTGCTGTTACAAGAATGAGGTGTCAAGTGTGTGTGTGTGTGTGTGTGTGTGTGTGTGTGTGTACGTACACACACATTGTGCTCCTGAGCAGTAGATGGGTTAGATGTTTAGGAAGTGTTGATGGACAGCAGCCAGAGGAAAAGTGTGCTACTATAGGCAAGTACAAACAAGCAGTTGTTAGGCACATGATGACCAGCTCTGTAATAAAAATATGAGTACCTGCAATCTACCTTTTTGAACTTTGCATGTACTATGAACAGCTGCAATAACCAATAACAGTGGGGCAGAGGGCCTAACAATAAGAAATGAGCATGTTGACTTGTGTTTGATCATATACAGTATTTATATAGCATAATTACATTGTAGGTGTGCTTTAACCAATCTTGGGCAGGCACAGTGGCTAAATGGTTAGCACTTCCACCTGGCAGTAGTAGGGCTGTTGGTTCGAATCCCAATCACGACACCACCTGCCTGGAGGTTTGCATGTTCTCCCTGTGCCTGCGTGGGTTTCCTCCGGGTACTCCGGTTTCCTCCCATACTCCAAAGACATGCTGGTAGGTTAATTGGATCCTGTCTAAATTGGCCCTAGTATGTGTATGGATGTAAGTTAGGGACCTTAGATTGTACACCCCTTGAGGGTTAGGGACTGATGTGACTGTACAATATATATATATATCTAAAGCGCTGCGTAAATTGACGGCGCTATATAAGTAACTGAAATAAATAAATAAATCTTGACAAAAATATTTCCACAGTTTATCATGGCTATCTCTAAATAGATTGTAGTTAAAAAAAAAAAAAAAAAAGTAATAAACCATCTGCATTTTTTTAGTTTAACACCTTGAGTATGATAGCCCAAACATTGCCCAGTAAACTATTTGTGCAAATTCTTACTCCAGCACTTGCAGTTTACAACTTCCATTGCTACAGAAAGCTGTTAAAACTTTAGCTCTCCATAAATCTCTGGGTCCTGATGGTCTTCCTCATGCTTATTATAAAACCTTCCCTGATCTCTTGGTCCCACATATGGCTCTTTATTTCAATCACCTACGGGATGGGGTGTAGTTCCATGCGATGAGAATAGAGCATGTATTCGTGTCATTCCAAAGCCTAAAAAAAGATACCACTGCTGTTCCTAACTACCGCCCTATCTTTGATTAATTCGCCCTAAAGATTGTTACTAAGGTTTTGGCTTTGCGCCTCAATATGTTTTTAGCAAACTACATTCAGGATGACCAATCAGGGTTTATTCAAGGACATCAAACACTTGACCAGATCTTTCAAACATTAACATTGATAACTGCAGTAAAGTCTAATTGGGATAATTCCTTACCAAGGGAAATTATTGCTGCTATCTCAGATCTTCACAAAGCGTTTGATAGTTTGACCTGGGACTATTTATTTCAAACGTTGGGCACCTTTGGGTTTGGCTCCACCTTTATTTCCCTGTTATAAGCTTTATAGCTTTTAAGCTCAGGTTTCTATTTGTGGGTATAAATCAGCTCCTCTCCCCATCAGAGGGGGTACTAGGCCAGGTTGTCCACTCTCCCCCTTACTTTTTGTGCTGGCAATAGAACCACTTGCTAATGCTATTCGTTCCCATCCTGCCATTACAGGCATCCAATGTACCCGCCGGGACCTCAGATGTGCCCTGTTTGCTGACGATGTTCTCATGTATGTTTCCAACCCCCGGATGTCTTTGCCCAATTTGTTGACTTTACTTCATCAATTTTCTTTGGCTTTGAGACTCACGTTAAATTATTCTAAAACAACTTCTCTAAATATCACTTTATCCTCTTTGGAGGTTCAGAACCTTCGAGACAATTTTGATTGTCAGTGGGCTCCTCGCTCTGTTCCTTATCTGGGGATCCATCTTACACGCTCTATTGCGACATTATATCGTGCCAATTATCCCCCACTTTTTAAACGACTTAAGGAAAATCTGCGTAGTTGGACAGACTTCCCTTTATCTTGGTTCAGTAGAATCAACTCTGTCAAAATGACCTTTTTACCAAGATTACTCTACTTTGTTCGGATGTTACCAATTGCGATCCCCAGAGGAGAAATATTGCGCTTACAATCAGAAATCTCTCGATTTCGTGTGGGGTAATAAACGCCCCCGGATTAATAACGCGACTATATATTTCCAGATAAAACATGGTGGATTGGGACTTCCCAACCTCTTGGCCTATTTTCAAGTGGCCCAGATAATGCAGCTCTCTTACACAAGAGCCAAAGGTTTTACACCCCAATGGGTTAGTATCAAAGCCTTATCTCGTCATCCTTATGCTATTGGTTCTCTTATGTGGCTTCCCAATTGATTGCGTCCTCCCATTTTATGCCCTACATTATCTCATTCTTTAGCAGTATGGGATAGGTTGCACATCCGTAAATCCTTATTTTCCACCCATACCCTCTTGGCTCCAGTCTTTTGTGATCCCAAATATGTACCTGGTCTAGTGCAATCTTTATTTCAGTGGTGGAGCAATAAGGGCTTTCTACGTATTGGGGATTATTTGGATGGGGATCACCCATACTCTTCACAATATTTTCAAGATAAGCACCAATTACCTCCTAGTGAAATCTTTTGATATAATCAAATTGTGTCCTTCATCCAATCTAAACTTAAATTGACGGAACCCCTAACACTCACTTCTCTTGAAATTTCTTGTCGAGCTTCTGGTATGGTGAAAGGTTGCAACTCTATTATATATACTTCACTTATTGATCCAAAAACTTAGCTTCTTTATATGATTCGGTGGGAAAGGGACTTAAATATCTCCTTAGATCTAACTGATTGGCACGACACGGCTTACACTTTGTCCAAAATTTCTATTAATACTACAGTTATTGAGTCTAATTATAAAACGCTCCTACGTTGGTACATGTTCCCTGCAAGTCTTGCTAAAATATATCCTACCATGTTACCTTCCTGTTTTCAGCGCTGTGGGTGGGAGGACACAATGTGTCATACTTGGTGGCAATGTCTTGTGGTGACTAGATTCTGGATCCATTTATTCAATTTTCTTTATTCAATGATAGGAGTGAATGTCATTGGTCGCCAGAGGTGGCCCTTTTTCCAGAAATTGCCCTAGGGTATTCCCAAGAAATCGGTCAGATTGATTCTTTACATTCTCCTGGCTGCAAGAATTATGATAACCAAATACTGGAAGCAATCTGTGTCAAAAATAAACTCAATTGGATCATGATTAATGATAAGCTACCTTGTATTCTTAATAATAATGCTTCAAAATTCGACAGAACTTGGGATCCATGGATTCGATATCTCTCCATCCCCTAATGGATTCATGACTGATCCTTCTTTACTTTACTCTTCCTTCTATGCTTTGCTTCTTTACTATTGTTTCCTACATTTTTGACTCCGATATTTCATTGTGTTGTAATATATATTGGTATTTGACTACAGATGGATTGTGTCTAGAGTTTAATTCTCACCGTGAACAATATATCACTATATACCAGATCTTTGTTTCCGGTTGTTATCTATCTTGGTCTCTAGACTGCATTGGAGGGATTACTAGGTCTCATACCTATTCCTTTTATTTAATGAGTTCTTCTTTAAAATCAGCTAAAATGTTAGTTTCTAAAAAAAAAGTTTTATTACAGTAATAACCTCAGCTTTATTTAAAGCACAGCTAAACCCAAGAACAGAAATGTAATAGATTGCAGTTTACGACTGCATTAGTTTCCTTTTTCTAGCTTTTCTCCCTTTATTTTCAATTGGTGATCAAGCCAGTACCTCACTTTCTGTACTAGGGTGACAACTTGCTGTACTGTATCTATGAGGAAGAAGCATAGTGGCCTTAAAATAGGACTGCAGAACATCTCTCTAGTCTCTTCTCCATAGGATAAGGGGGAGGTGTTTAGTGGTCCATAGATATAGTTCGGAACAATTAATGCAGGTTCCTGCAGTTGAAAGTCAAATCCTGTGAGAAAGGAGTGGGGGGCATGGCTCAGCTACACTGTGCGGACACACACAACCTGGCTTGGGAGCATGCCCACCTAGATTGCCCCATAGCACAGAGGAGGAGCAGACATGCTCGGTCAGGAGACCCCAGAAGAGCTGTGACAGCGTGAGGAAAGTGCAGCCGATAAGCGATAACTGCATTTACCAGTGATCTGCTGTGTCATTGGACACAGCTGATCATGTGGTAAAAGGCCGCTGTGATTGACCTTTTACCACATCACGTGATCGGCTGTGTCCATAGGACACAGCGATCACGATGATCGCCGGGTGCGCGTGGAGGGCACGTTCTGGGGAGATGTCATATGACGCCCTCCCAGAACTGGACAACCAGGCAGTATCCGTCATTCGGCTATAGCGAGGTTGGCAAGAGGTTAATGTCACAAAAACAGACCAGAAATCGCAGCTGTGTAAAATCACTGCAGAATTCCTTCAGAAACGCACCGCAACTGCTGCTTGAAAACTCATAGAAATCGCACTGCATCAATGTGAACCAACAAAATGTGTGCTATGAAGACACATATAGCATATGTTGCTTCTGTACTAAGTGTCTTCCTGACTCTATTCTTTTTAAACTATATTATTTTTATTTTACTGCTATAAGTTTGAAGTACTGTGGTTAATAGATACAATATGTAACTATTGAACATTTTCTAATTTTCATTGCCTGCTTTTTAAGGATATTTGTAAAAGGAAAATATAAATATCAATTACCTGTAAGTGCAATTCAAATTTTAAGGATGTTCTGTGTTTACTTTTAGCCACATAGTGCCATATTCTCTGGAAAAAGTGGTGACCGTATTGGCCAAACTTGGAGAATTGATAGAGAAAAACCAAATGGTCTTTACACTCATATTACAAAGTCAAAGGCAGAGTATGTGTTGTTCTACACAGGTAAGGCATGCTCGTAAATACTTTACAGACTGTTTAATAAGATCATGAAGGGGCCCCCCCCCCCCATGAATTCTTTATTGAGAAAGATCAACATGCAAGGCACAAACAAGCATGGTGACCTAAGTACAGTATGAGGTATAACAAGCATAACAGAGAGTACATGTATAATAGCATGGTTAAAAAATAAAGCACATTAACTCTTTCCACAAATGAGTCACATTTTGCAATATTTAGTCCAGTGATGGAAGCAGGTGTATTATGAAAACCTATTAGTATTGGTTACCTCCGCAAAGCAGGAGACATTTCACACCTGAGAGTCACGTTTTTCTGAGTAGTAGTGAAAGAAGGAGAAGATGGAATAAGAAGGAAAAGAGAAAAGGGGGGGGAATGGTGTAAGAAACAGTAGAGAAAGGTGGGGAAGCAGAGTGTAGAACTGTAAGAAGAGCACAAAACTGAGCAAGGGAGCACCGAAAATGCTCTCGAAAGCTATTTACACTCAAGAAGTTTTTCATATCTCATCTGTACGCATCTCCATGTAGCAGATTAGCATATTTAGCTGTGGATCTACAATGTAACCAGCAAACCCAAGTCTTGACGTAATGGGTAACTATCCTGAGTGATATGCATCAGTTCCTCCAATTCTGCAATTTTGTTAATGCAGGAAAACCATTCTGCAATCATAGGTGATTGTTTGTTTTTCTCCAGTGAACAGGGAAACAGTCTGGCCGCGTTCACCATATGCATCACTAGATATTTAAAATATTGACATTTGGACAAGTGTATGTTGCAGCAGGTACTGGGTGGGAGTGAAGACTTTTAAAATAAGTTAAGAGATTTGAAAGTGTGTGTTTTTGGGTAAGGTTTCTGGCATACTCTATAAAAATCTGACCAAGGCAGAGTGCATTCAAGAAGTGCCTGCCTTGGAAGTAAGCCCACAAAGGTACTGGATGACTAGATGAGCGAGAAGGTCGAAGTGGCCCCTTTTATAGAAATGACCTGCCAAGATGTTCGTTTTAGGCCAATATTCTTCCAGAAATTTTCCAGTTAGCACTGAGCGTCAGACCTATAACCAGATACGTTTTCAGAGAGAAGAGGTTGACAGTAGCCACACATGGCATCCAGTGGGAATGTCAAGAAAAGTTGTTTCACTGATATCCAATCTTTCAAGGATTGGTGAAGGGTCCAGTCCACAATTTTTGACAAATGACAGGCCCAGTAATATTTTTAACTGTCCAGAAGGCCAATACTTCCCTTATGTTTTGGAAGAGTCATAAGAGCAAAGCTTAATCTATGAGTTCTCCCCTGCAATGAAAATGTAGTCCTCATTGTCTTCAGAGAAGGAAAAAAATGGCGAGCAAAGAAATAGGGGCGAGCAAAGAAATAGCATGTAAAGTAAATGAGGTAGAACATTAATTTTCAATATTGTGGCTCTCCTAAACCAGGAATATCATGCTTTATCCCAGTCTTTGAAATCTTGTTGGATTTGTACTAACAGGGCTGATAGTTGCAACTATAGACATCTGCCAGGGTAGATTGAAGTTGGATCCCCAGATAAGTGCTGCGAACAATAAGTCACCTCTTCTGCGGGCAGGGATATGTTAAAAGCTTATGATTTGGAGTAGTTCACCTTTAAATTTGAAGGAAAAAATTAGTCTTCAGCAATGGCTGCTAATTTATACTCTGCTCCTCACCAAGACACCCTGCACCACCAAATTGGCACATAGACTCCTGAGGAAGGATTTTAAGGCTATGACATAGTATGGGTGACAGAGGGCACCTCTGTCTCATTCCATTGTGATTCTGAAAGGCGTCTGATAGGTGGCCATTTACTGTCGCTTTGGCATGAGGGGAGGTATCCTTGAGAAGAACTTGTTTTATAAGCCTTAAAGAAGTGGATTAAATATTTAGCAAATATCACCATCCTCACAAATCAGCTGTTGTTTCTTTCCTAACTCCTTTTGTGTTTCCAGCACTACATCTTTCATATAGCTCCCAGTAACAGTCCATCTTGAGTTTGTTTAGAGGGGGTGGATACAGCTTCAGCAATCCACCACCTCGCTCTGTCACTCCTGCCCTGGAAGTTGTGGACCAGCTTCCTGCATGGGCACACATCCAAGCAGCAAACTATAGCAAGCAGGTCTGTCACATGGCTGTTTCCATAGTGTCACACAGAAAACAGGAAACAGAGGCCGTCTGGCAAGATGGTAAACGCTGTGCTGTCTAATTTACTGCTTGGACTGAAGTGTCATAGGCATGTCCAGATCTGGTGGTGGTGTTGAGGGCTTCTGCTTCCCCAAATTTCTGTTGCACCCCATCTTCCTTCTGTGGATGCTGTGGCTGCTCCTCTTATCCTGACACTGCACACATGGCACTTATCAAGCTCTTCCTCCCCACACAGCAGTTATTGAATTCTCCCCCAGTTGCTCTAAGAAACACAGTGTTGCATTTGATTTTCTTTGTCAGAAAATAATAGCTGACTGCAAATTTAAATGCAATTTTAAGTTTTTTTAATAATATTTAATTGGGAAGTAACATTAAAATATGTATGTTATATAATTGTTTCAGGAAAAGGAAATGTGGAGCCTTTTAAAGTAGATCCACTATATTTCCACCTACACAAAAAATGTATACTGCAGAGCAGAGAATTTTATAAACAGAATTCTTTATCTTCATGTTTTTAAGTCAGCAGGGTTTTCATAACACCCTTCAGAAAAAAGTTTAGAATTTTATTCATGTCATGGTGTTAATGTAGGGCTGGACAATTCCCTGGCGCCATATTGCCATGGCAACCAGAAACTGTGTCCTGGCGCCTGGGCCCCCCCCAACCCACACTGCCCTGTTCTCTCCCACTCCACGTCCTCTGCCGGGTCCCCAGCATACCGGGACCCCCAGAGTCTCCCCCATCCCTCCCCATGCACAGTCCTATGTCCAGCACAGCCCTATGAAAGCAGGCCCCTTGAGGACACTGTAGCCCCCCCCCCCTTCCCCCCAAAGCTCATGGAGTGGAGGACTTGACCGCCCCATACATATCACAAAGCCTGTGAATGCCGACTTCAGCTGCAGTGGCTCTCCCCACCAGAGTCACCGGAGCCAAGTCCCACTAAATGTGTGACAGCGGTCAGCCCCACCTCCAGCACGCTGCCCCGTCCCCCCCCTCCCCCCATCAACCACAACAACCAGGTGGACATCTGGAGGAGCCACTGCTGCACAGGTGAGAGCCCTCTCATTGTCTCCCACCTGTCCCTCTGCCCCCACCTATCCTGCTGCCCCCCACTGGTTGCCCCCCTCCTATGATGCTGCCTGCCACCTGTCTTGCTGCCCCCCTGGGATTCCCCCCCCCCCCCCCCCCACACCTATCCTGCTTCCCCCCCCCACCTTTTCCACTGCCCCCCTCCCGTGATACTCCACCGGGTCTTGTTACCCACCACCTGTCTTTACTCCCCCCCTCCTATGACACTTCCCCCTCTGGTCCAGTTCCCCCTTCCTGTGACGCTCCCCCCCCTCCTGTGATGCTGCCCTCACCTGACAGGCTGCCCCACCAGCTGGCTCCTAACTTTTTTAGCTGGCTCCTAGATTCAAAGCAAATTTGTCAAGCCCTGGGTAAATGTATGCCTACAGTTTACTGTAGAATGCTTTCACTTTGTTTTGTATTCTTTCACAAGGAAACATACAAAATATGAACACTCTATATTGGGCCTGATAAACCTAAAAGTCCCATACTATTTGCTTATTTGAATATTATCTGCCTCCACTGAAGCCAACCATATACAGATTGAAATATGGCTGGTTCCTGTTGAACCTGCCGAATTTCAATTCATGTATGGGCAGGCTGGTTGTACTGAAGTTGATCGATTGATCGATTTCAGTACAACCGACCTGTCGGTTTTTTGTTTGATCACTGCCAGCGGCTATAGCCACAAGCAGTGATCATTGTATTCTGATGACTGGGAAACCTCCCACTGTCAGAATACAATGGCTCCGTGGGAGGGATTCCCCCATCAACACTGAACGTGTTCATGGGGGGAACAGCAATTTTCTTTCCTTCAACCCGTAGAGCAGTGTTTCTCAAGTAATGGGTCATGACCGGGGTGGACTGGGAATGCGGTGCAAGTGCCCCCCCGGCTGCTCTAATGTCCCAATAAAACTTCCAGTGTCCTGACAGCAGAGCTTAATAAAAACCTTTGGCCGCACTATTATAAATGTTAACAGGGCTGGGACTGCAACTACGGCTGGCTTTAATATTTGTATTATTGCGACCAGCCGGTCCCATTAAGGTGGTGCGCACGGTGCACTTACAAAGCAGTCCCATGGCCTCCACGCTCATTCCTCCTTCCTCCATGGCAGTGCTGGGAGCAAGTGACATAACTATGCTTCCTGCCAGCCATGCAGGAGGGAAGAAAAGCACCACTGCACACCATGGAATGACTCCGTTAGGTACTTTTTCCTAGGTTGTGGCAGGGTGATGGAGAGCGCATTTTGAAAGGAGTGAAAAAAAAAAAAAACCAGGATGGTCATTTGGGGGGGATGAAAGTGTGCATGGAAGGGGAGATCTGAAGGAAGCCATGAAAGGGGGAGGTTTTGTGGAATAAATTATAATATTTTGGAAATTATTTTTGGGTCGCGATTTAATGACCAAGGACAAATATGGGTCCTGAGGTTCTATAGGGGGAGAATCGCTGCCTTAGAGTATCACCTTGGCTCTATAAAAATAAGTAAACATAGCGTTACCTTTGAATTTCCATTCTCATCTTTCTCATGTGTCTGTTATTTTATCCATTCCCTTTTGAAATCCCTTTAGGCTTGTAAATACTAATTATAAAATACAGAAAGGATTAACAAGATTTTTTTTATTTTCACAGATAACACTATTAAAGGATATTCTGTCAACGACCTATGTTCTACAACAGCAGGCCAACCAAGCAAACTTTCAGACTCCAAACATGACCCTGAATGGCAAGCACAGATGAAAGACTTTATACCCATCGTATCTGAGAGGTATTTTTTTTTTAACCTGTATGGTGTTTTGAAGGTCAGACAATAAAGCACAACCGGGTAGTTTTATGATTGTGCAGAGAAAACCAAAACCAGCAGCTCTTATATAGACAAGAATTTCTGGCCTTGTGAAGTAAAGATGATTTCTGTTGCTAAATACTGTGAATAGAACATTTTGTACTGATGTAGGAAGATAAGAGTTGATGGGAATTCCACACATTGCTAGTATATTGAATGTCACAAACATAGGGGTTGATTTACTAAAGGCTAATATACTGTGCCCTACAATTGCAGTTGCTGCAGAACTTAGTAAATGTGGTAAAGCTTCACTTTGCAAAGAATACCCAATCACATGGAAGGAAAATAGAAAACAGCATTTTTTTTCTTGCACATGATTGGATGATAGAAATCAGCTGAGCTTCCCCTCTAGAGCAAATGCAGTACACAGTATATTTGCCTTTAGTAAATCAACCCCCCCCCCCCAGTGTATTCTTTGTAATCATATATAAATAGTGTTGTAAACTTATGTAACACATAGTTTGTAAAGAATCCTTGTATACACACTACATTAACTTTCAGATAAAAACTAGCCATACGCTACAAGAATTTCATTTTCATTTTTCAAAACTTTTCATTTCAGTTCATTTGATTTTCAGATCATTAGTGGGGTCAAATTGAAGTTCGTTGTTGCCCTTAGTGATTAGAAAATTCAGAAGAGCAGGAAGGAAATTTTGTTTGAGAAAGCATAACTTTCCATTTATCAACATTAAACCTCATTTGCCACATAGTTGCCCAATTAACAGTGCATTGAGGTCGGCTTGTAAGTTGGAGACATCCTGTAAGGACGTTATTCCACTGCACAGCTTGGTGTCATCTGCAAAGACTGAAATGGGATTTTTTAATCCCAGACCCTATATCATTTATAAATATATTAAAAAGTAAGGGTCCCAACACTGAACCTTGGGGTACACCACTGACAACCCTAGACCATTCAGAGTATGAATCATTAACCACTACTCTCTGAATACAATCTTTTCACTAGCTTTCTACCCATTTACATACGGATTTTTCCAAGCCTGTAGACTTTACCTTACACATTAGCCGTGTGTAGGGAACTGTGTCAAACGCTTTTGCAAAATCCAAGTATACCACGTCCACCGCCACCCCTCTGTCCAAGGTTTTGCTTACTTATAAAAAGAAATCAAATTTATTTGACAACTTCTGTCTTTCATGAATCCATGCTGTCTGTTACTTAACTTCCCTGAAGATATTCCTGAGTGTAGCTCTGGGTAAGGTTTCAGTACCACAAGCAGTAACCCCGAGCTACACTCGGGAATACCCTGCAGCGTTGCTCCGGGATCCCTTCTGCACTTACCTTGTCCTGCGCTCCCTCGATGTCCCCCCTGCAGCGTCCCTGCCGATGCCGGCATCTGTCTTCCGGGTTCCGTCCCCTGCAATGTCAGGACGTACGGGGGACAGAACTGGCTGGAAATTTAAAAATGTCAAAAAGTGACATTCACTAAATACACTAAAATCACATAGTAAAACATTACTGTATCAAAGCATTTCACATACATTTTGTCCCTAGTGCTTTGTCCTGTGCCCTGCCTGCATTTTTACTGTTCTTTCTGCCTGGAAACTGAGAAATGTCCATGGCATCCAAAAAGCGTCCCTTTAGGTCAAAAGCGGTTTTAGACCAGCTAGAGAACAGCGATAGTAAATTAGAACTACTTGCAGAATTGAGTGATAATGATTCGTGGGGAAATTTGTCATCGGACACTAAAAACGATTTTGCGACTTTGCTCATTGATGTGCGAACTTGGCGCTCTATTTCAAATTTCAGTGTTTTTGGTTTGATTATATTATCGAATTAAATGTATTATTATATTATTTTTTATGATTATTAATTAAATTATAATTTATGATTTCGTGTTTCAAATTTTATCCTATCCGGGATGTTTACTAGACTCTTGTTTGGACAGATTTCAGTGAGTTATTCCTAAAAATTACAGGCCTACAATAAAAGACATATTTCCATGCAAAAAAAATGTACCGGTTTGAGCACAGAAATACTGACATAATCAGACCACTAGGGAGGCTACAATATTTTTTCTAGCTAGAACTCATCTATGTGGTCTTTTATTAAACTCTCCAGTATTTTTCCAATTCTAAACGTTAAACAGGTCTATAGTTACTTGGGAAAGACTTTGATCCCTTTTTAAATATAGGCACCACATTGGCCTTACACCAATCCAGTGGTACTATGCCAGTCATTAAAGAGTCCCTAAAAATTAGAAACAATGACTTTGAAATGACAGAGCTCAGTTCTTTTAGGACCCGAGGGTGTATGCCATCTGGTTCAGGTGCTTTATTCACCTTTATTCTGTCTAAATACTTCTGGATCATATCAATTTTGAGCCATTGTGGATCATCTGGAAATGTGTCAATACCATGCCCATTATGGACAAGAGCTCCCCCATGCTCTTTGTATACACAGAGCTGAAGACGGTATTTAATAAATTTGCCTTCTCTTTGTCCCCAGTCACCCACTGCAGATTATTTTGTAAAGGGCCTACATGCTCAGACCGGACCTTTTTACTATTATTACATTTAAAAATTGTTTTGGGGTTTGTTCTACTTTCTGTTGCAATTTGTCATTCATTTTGAATTTTTGTGTCCTGTTCTGTTGTATTTTTTGTAAAATTCAAATGAATATAGTGTTCCTTAATTTTTATATTAAAAAAAAAAACTCTTTTCATATTGTGTCCTTGCCACTCTGCATGAGCTGAAAAGACAGAGAAAACCATGTTGACCTTTTCTTCTGTAAACTGCGAACTCTTGTCAACAACCATGTAATGTACTGTAGATGATCAAAGGCAGACATGTTTGAAATCCAATAAAAGCCAGCGCACCAAGTTAAAGATACAGATGGAGAGTTTACTAAAGTCTGATACTGGCAGCACAGACTCTGCTTGTCACTGTGATAAAGAAGTCTGCCAAGTCCTTGACATTCTTTTTTCTGCTGATATGGCACTTTGGTAAACTCCTCATGTGGATTTGTAGCTAAAGGCAAAACTGTTTTTTTTTTTCATTTTGCTTAGAGTTATGCGTTACCATTGAAAGTAAAAGAAAATAAATTTTGTGTTGACATTAAAATACTAATAGAGCAGGAATCTACCAATGGGGACACTAGGATATCCTCTCACTTCCTGTTGTGGCTATGAGACAGGAAGTGAAGAGAAATCTTACCAAAGATGGCAAAAAAAAAAAACAGATGGGGGTTGTAACCCTCTCTTACTATATTCAAAATGAAAAAGAAAATGTTTGCCTTCAAACACACTTTAATTTGGCTTGCTGTTTTTTTTTCTTATTGGATTTACATAGTACCATATTTAACCATGCACCCCCATTCCCCTTATACAGGGTTGTTCTATTTCTCTCTCTTTTTTTGTTCAGTATGTTTTTGATGTATTTTTCTGTTTCAACAGCATCCCCACCGCCCTATAGCAGAAATACTGCTACAGGGCAGCACAAGTGCACAAAATCACATATATACAGTACGTGAATTTGCATTTCTGGGTAGGGGGCGTGTGTGCCCTACCCGCGCCACCATTCATGGCCACAGCTGTCAATCACCGGGTCCCAGCCTGTAATTACTCGCCAACACCTGGTGATTTCCGACGATCATCGACGGGAGGAGGACTGTTTTGTTTACTAACAGTCCTCCTCCCTGTCAGCTCGGGCACACTGCTGTGGATGGTTGTACACAGCACAGCCATCCAGAGCAGTGTGATTACAGTGAATCACACACACCACCCCCTAGTAAAACATTCCCTGCACACAGTTAACCCTTTGATCGCCCCTCATGTTAACCCCTTCCTGCCCAGTGCCATTAGTACAGTGTCAATTTTTTATTTTTTTTATTTAGCACTGATCACTGTATTGGTGTCACTGGGGATGTCAGTGACACCAAGTCAGTTCCCCCCAGTGTCAGAATGTCTGCCGCAGTCCCGCTATAAGTCGCTGATCGCCGCCATTACTAGTAAAAATAAACATTTAAAAAAAAAAATCCCAGTATATATATACCACCATTTGTAAACGCTATAACTTTCACGTAAACCAATTAATTTACACGCATTGGGATTTTTAGCAAAGACATGTCACAGAATACATTTTGGCCTAAATTTATGATGAAATTTGAGTTTTAAAATTTTTTTTACTGGACAAGTATAAGAACAAAAAAGTAAAAAAAAAAAAATTTTTCCTCAAAATTGTCAGTCTTCTTTTTTTTATTTTTTATAGTGCAAAAAAATTAAAACCGCACAGGCGATCAAAAACCACTGAAAGAGAGCTCAATTTGTGGGACAAAATGGACAGAAATTTCATTTGGGTACAGCGTTCCATGACCGCACAATTGTCAGTTAAAGTAACGCAGTGCTGTAATGCAAATAATGGCCTGGTCAGGAAGGGGGGTAAATCCTGAGGCGGGCAAGTGGTTAAGTTCAGCAAGGGTGACAGCCATGTCTCTTTGCATAGATACAGCAAAGGCAGACACAGATTTTTCACGGATGTACCAAGAGCTCCCTCTAGCGGCTAATCCACAAATTACATTAAAAACATATGAAGGAGTAAGTATGTTAAAATACTTTCTCTTGAGGTCATGTTTTTTAATCTTGGTGAATACAAAGAAATAATGACTTTATATGAAATGTCATCATGTAGAAGGAACAATGGTGTGAAGTGTTGCATCTACCCCAAAGCCTAAAGAATCTATACTTCACACAAGATGCTGCCATATTATTTTATTCTTTTACCTCTAAACTTTGGGGTTTAAAGTCATAGTTTAGATTTTATTTAATTGGACAACAGAACTTGTTTCCAAAATCTCTTATCTATCGTTGGCTTTGCATACTGTGATTTAAGTCGCTTTCAGCTAGCTTTTGCTCTCAAAATGATGCAACCCATTACCTACAGTTTCTGTTGGAACAAATACACTCACATTGGTTAATGGTAAGTTTCCTTGACCCATTTTGCACATGGAAGTTAATTGGCATGTGACCAGAGTTGATGTTGTGTTACAAATTAAGAACATTGATATTTGTGTAAACAACACTGTACAATGGAGCACTGATGTGTAAGCAAAACACCTTGATAGGTTCCAATGTTAGATGTCATTGTTGGCTCTGGTAGTGTCTTCACCTGATCTGTTAAAGCTTATCTCCAGACAAACAACTAAGTACATAAAGGAAATACATATAAGGGAGCTGGCTTACATGCTGAAGGATTTGTAATTTTGTACATCTATTTCTGAGATTTACACAGCCCTCTTTCCCTTTAATGTTTTTCTTTCCTCTTTATGTTACTTCCCTTACAGGATAAGTTCACCTTTTAGTAAAAAATAATAAATGCGCATTTTTTTTTCAGGTAAAAAAAATGTGCATTTATTGTTTTTGTTTGCAGGAGCCTGTAAAGCATTGCACCAGCTATCAGCAGATTGCTGGTGCCATGCAGGTCTCCTGCAGATCTGCCAGTATATCTGCTTGCCTGTACGGGATGTGCGAGCAAGCAGATACAGTGCATTGAAAAAGTATTCATATCCCTTGAAATTTTCCACATTTTTTCATGTTACAACCAAAAAACACAAATATATTTTATTGGGATTTTATGTGAAAGACCAACACAAAGTGGCACATAATTGTGAAGTAGAAGGAAAATGATTTTCAAACTTTTTTACTAATCTGTGAAAAGCGTAGCGTGCATTTGTATTCAGCCCCCCTGAGTCAGTACTTTTTAGGACCAGCTTTCATCTTTTTGGGGATGTCTCTTTGCTGAGAGTGACATTTTTGCTCATTCTTCTTTGCAAAATAGCTTAAGCTCTGTCAGATTGGATGGAGAGTGTCTTTGAAGAGCAATAAACGAGTCTTGCCACAGATTCTCAATTGAATTTAGGTCTGGACTTTGACTGGGCCATTCTAACACATGAATATTCCTTGATCTAAACCATTCCATTGTAGCTCTGGCTGTATGTTTAGGGTCCTTGTCCTGCTGGAAGGTGAACCTCGACCCCAATCTCAAGTCTTTTCAGACTCTTAACAGGTTTTCTTCTAAGATTGTCTTGTATTTGTCTCTATCCCTCTTCCCATCAACTCTGACCAGCTTCCCTGTCCCTACTGAAGAAAAGCATCCTCACAACATGGTGCTGCCACCACCATGTTTCACGGTGGGGATGGTGTGTTCAAGGCATTGTGCAGTGTTAGTTTTCCGCCACACATGACGTTTTGCTTTTAGGCCAGAAAGTTCAATTTTGGTCTTATCTGACCAGAGCACCTTCTTCCACATGTTTGCTGTGTCCCCCAGATGGCTTCTCGCAAACTGCAAACGGGATTTCTTAAAGGCTTTGTTTCAACAATGGCTTTCTTCTTGCCACTTTTCCATAAAGGCCAGATTTGTAGAGTGCATGACTAATAGTTGTCTTGTGGACAGATTCTCCCACCTGAGCTGTGGATCTCTGCAGCTCCTCCAGAGGTACCATGGGCCTCTTGGCTGCTTTTCTGATTAATGCTCACCTTGCCTGGCCTGTCAGTTTAGGTGGATGGCCATGTATTGGTAAGTTTTCAGCTGTGCCACACTCTTTCCTTTTTCGGATGATGGATTTTATTTCAAATTTTCTTTTAAATTTGACAGCTGGTAAGGGGGAAAAAGATCCCCCTCAAGCTGGCAAAAGGGGGAGTGGAGGCCGGTCTGATCATAACATTTCACACCCTGAATATGGGTGTAACATGTTATGAAAGGTAAACTTATCCTTTAATACTGTGCAATGTTCCTAAGGCACATAAGAGAGACGTTTGTCCCCCAAACCTGAATCGCATTGTTTTCTCCCATATTTGGGTTGTTGAAAAGCGTTTAGATTTTAGAGTTCTGTAAGAGCATCTTATTAGCCTAGCAGAATTTCTTGTCCCTGGCAGTGACATCTCCTTTTGATCATTGCTAGGCCATGTATTATTGAGCCCAAGCAACCTTAATTTTCAACTGGAGGTGCCATTGTGGGCAATAACTTGACTCGTTCTCAGTTGTACTAAGCATTCTGTGTGTAGCCGGCTATGTTTTTGAAAGCATATGTGAACATATTTCTTTATTGTAAGTGCCTTTTGAATGTGGAGGGAATGCTGTTTTTGCACTTTGTGTACTGTATTAAATCAGATCTTAATAAAAAAAACTGTTGAAAAGAAATTTACATAGCCCTGTTGCATAGCCATGCAGATGACACCACTTTCTTAACATTTCGCATAAGAAGTTTTTTTTTTTCCCTTCATTCAACACAGCAGACTGAAAGAGAGAAGAAAAGAACTGAGAGGTCGCCGTAGTAATAATGCGATGTTTGTGCAGTGATCTCCCCTGCTGAGCTACTGTGTTTTGACTGGGGGACTGCCACCCGACCAGAACACTTTGGGGTGGTTTTCTTGCATGCCTGTTAGACAGAAGCTGGACAGGCTGCTGTTAACACAGGCTCAATGTCAGGCAGTTTCCGACCGATATTCGACCCGTTTGTACCAGCCTTTAGACGGGATACAGCCTGATGTCTGGACAATGAAAGAGTAGCAGCAAACTGTTAAGATCACCTGTCTGCCTACTGTGCTGTCAACATGTGCTTTGTCTAATGTCCCGTACACATGATGAGAAAATCAGACGAAAAATACCGCTTTCTAAGCGATCGTCCGATAATCTGATCATTAGTACATTTCATGCGACAATATCTGAAAAGACAAACACAAACATTTTTCTCGTACGATACCAGGACAAACGATGGTGCATGCTAGGAAACGAAAGAATACATTACACTGCTTTCGAAGTTGTATTCTGTCATATGAGAATTTTCACAACTTTAGTAACCTCTTCATTTTCGATATGAGAGTAGCATACCCCCACAAAAAAAAAAAAAACCCACGATCATTCATCTGATATTCTCATCTTGTGTATAGGGCTTAACATTTGCATGCAAATCAACTGATTGACTTCCAGTCTGTGTGTTGCACTATAGGGTTTGACAAGATGCTTATACCGAGTTCAGTTCAGGTACATTCACTAGTTGCATTCTTAACAGAAATATTTATTAATGTATAATTTGCATTCATGTTTGTATTTCATATGTGGAGTACAGCTTTATAGATACTGTATGAGTCAATTAGGTTCAGGATATTACAAAAAGATAACACTAGTAGAATAGCTGAAGGGGTGCTCTAACATTTGCAAATGATGCATATGAATTTTTTCCATTGTTTGTTTTTTTTTTTTTTTTCCTATGTCTTTTTTTTCTTTTTTTTTTGTATTTTATTAAAGTTACTTTAGTATGTTTATTCAAAGTGGCTTTAATTTATTTGCACATGTTTTTATGATTTCAGCTCAGGTAGAATTCTCTACTTGTTAAATGTTCCTGGGAGTTATTACAACAACATTTTGGTTGTGAAATCAGAAGTTTCAGAACTGCTTGATGGACAAAAGTTTCGATCTTTGTGGTCTGTGAACACAACAGATATTTTAAGGTAATTAAACAAGGACTTAAAATAGAACTATAGGCAAAAACTTTATTTTTTTTCATTTTGGATAACGTAAGGGAGGCTTATAACGCTTGTCAGATTTTTTATTTTGCCATTGAGTTACATTTCAGAGATTTCCCTTCACTTCCTGTTCCATAACCAAACAGGAAGTGAGAGGAAATCCCTGAAAATTAAGTGAATCCCTTGGGGACCCCCAGGTCACCAGAACTAGTGTCCCCATTGGAAGATTTCTCCTCTGTTACTTTTCCGGGACAACCCAAATTTTTGGGTTTTTCTTTACTTTCACTTTCATTGGTAATGGCAAACAGGACAAATGGAGAGAATGAATCTCTCCCGAATGCGGGCACAGACAGCAATAAAAACCAACAGGGAAAGCCCTTTCCACTCTTATCCAAAACTAAAAGCTGTACTTTAACTTTTTTGCTTTTTATTGCCATACTTGAATATCCGTATGTATATTATATTGTATATATCTGTATGTATAGTTAACAACATCATCATGAGACAACATATGGGACCTATATTGAAATCCACAGAATTACATTGTTTATCTTAGAGTTCTAATTCACTGTGTGCTTATGAGTTTTATCAGACCATAGTGTTTCACAAATATTGTACATACAGTATCCCACCCCGCACATTTTTGTAAATATTTTATTATCTTTTCATGTGACAACACTGAAGAAATTACACTTTGCTACAATGTAAAGTAGTGAGTGTACAGCTTGTATAACAGTGTAACTTTTCTGTCCCGTCAAAATAACTCAACACACAGCCATTAATATCTAAACCGCTGGCAATAAAATTGAGTACACCCCTAAGTGAAAAAGTCCAAACTGGGCACAATTAGCCATTTTCCCTCCCCAGTGTCATGTGACTTGTTAGTGTTACAAGGTCTCAGGTGTGAATGGGGAGCAGGTGTGTTAAATTTGGTGTTATCGCTCTCACGCTCTCATACTGGTCACTGGAAGCTCAACATGGCACCTCATGGCAAATAACTCTCTGAGGATCTGAAAAAAAGAATTGTCGCTCTACATAAAGATGCCCTAGGCTATAAGAAGATTGCCAAGACCCTGAAACTGAGCTGCAGCATGGTAGCCAAGACCATACAGCGGTTTAACAGGAGAGGTTCCACTCAGAACAGGCTTCACCATTATCAACCAAAGAAGTTCAGTGCACCTGCTCAGCATCATATCCAGAGGTTGTCTTTGGGAAATAGACGTATGAGTGCTGCCAGCATTGCTGCAAAGATAGTAGGGGTGGGGGGTCAGCCTGTCAGTGCTCAGACCATACGCCGCACACTGCATCAAATTGGTCTGCATGACTGTCGTCCCAGAAGGAAGCCTCTTCTAAATATGAGGCACAAGAAAGCCCAAAAACAGTTTGCTGAAGACAAGCAGACTAAGGACATAGATTACTCGAACCATGTCCTGTGGTCTGATGAGACAAAGATAAACTTATTTGGTTCAGATGGTGTCAAGCGTGTGTGGCGGCAACCAGGTGAGTAGTACAAAGACAAGTGTGTCTTGCCTACCGTCAAGCATGGTGGTGTGAGTGTCATGGTCTGGTCTGGGGCTGCATGAGTGCTGCCGGCACTGGGGAGCTACAGTTCATTGAGGGAACCATGAATGCCAACATGTACTGTGACATACTGAAGCAGAGCATGATCCCCTCCCTTCAGAGACTTGGCCGCAGGGCAGTATTCCAACATAACGACCCCAAACACACCTCCAAGACTACCACTGCCTTGCTAAAGAAGCTGAGGGTAAAGGTGATGGACTGGCCAAGTATTTTTCCCAGACCTAAACCCTATTGAGCATCTGTGGGGCATCCTCAAATGGAAGGTGGAGGAGCTCAAGGTCTCTAACATCCACCAGCTCCGTGATGCCGTCATGGAGAAGTGGAAGAGGACTCCAGTGGCAACCTGTGAAGCTCTGGTGAACCCCATGCCCAAGAGGGTTAAGGCAGTGCTGGAAAATAATGGTGGCCACACAAAATATTGACACTTTGGGCCCAATTTGTACATTTTCACTTAGAGGTGTACTCACTTTTGTTGTCAGCAGTTTAAACATTAATGGCTGCGTCTTGAGTTACTTTGAGGGGACAGAAAATTTACACTGTTATACAAGCTGTACACTCACTGCTTTACATTGTAGAAAAGTGCCATTTCTTCAGTGTTGCCACATGAAAAGATATAATAAAATGTTTACAAAAATGTGAGGGGTGTACTCACTTCTGTGAGATACTGTATATAATTCTATATATTGCTCTTACATAGGTGAATTTGTGTTGGCAACCCTGCTCTTTATCATCTACTAAGAAACAACAGCTATTTTGATGTTCTATCAACAGATGCTTTATTAACTTACTGTGGCTTTTAAAGCTGTATTATAGTCACATGGCTTTGAAAATGTGAAATGGACACCATCCTTTTGCCTTTCCAGTGAGGCTTCCTGGTATGAGGGAGCATGTGACCATAACTGTGCTGTGGCCTAAGCTGTCAATCACCAGGCCTGAACACTGTCACTAAGGGGGACCAATGATGTCATCTTCTTGCCTATGTTTTAGCACTAGAGCCTAAACAGGCAGGGATACTGAAAATAGGAAGGCAGCAAGGCTCAGTAAGTATAAAAGTATGGCAGTAAGGCCTCGTTCACATGGGCATATTTAAAGGCAAATTTGTCTTTATTAGATTTTGTATCATATTAAACAATATATAGCAAGAAAGTAATAAGAACATCGACAATGGAATGGGCAAAAAAACAACAACATAGGTATGAATATGATCCATGGGGATGAAGGAAGATGAATCCAAACATAGATACAAGGGGGGCATCCCCAGACAGGCGGTATTCAACAATGAGATAATTCCATAAAACCAAGAGAATACACCCAGACAGAGAATGAGTGAAGAAAAAAAAAAAGGGGGGGGGGGACACCAGATGTAAAGATATTGAAGGAAAAGAGGAAAGAAAAGGAAGAGGGTTGGCAGACAGGCACGGCAACAAGTGGAGACAAGGTGCTCATCCATCAGTATCCCATCGGAATGATCCCACCGGCCGCACCCCAATACGGACTGCAGGGCCACACCAACGAACATGCTAGAATGAAAAAGACTCGGGGGAGTAGGGCTCAACTCCGTTAAGGCACAACATGGGAACACAAATCTCGGAGAGACGAAGTGGAGGGGAAATGGAGCCAGACCGACCACAGCAACTTATGTTTATCGTAGGTATCATTGGCAAATGCCAACATTTTTTCCATACTCATGGTATCATTAAGTACAGAGACCCACAGTGGAAGAGGCAGGGGAGTAGTCGTCTTCCAAAAGAGGTATCAATTGGCGGGCCGCGGATAGAAAGAAGCACAGCAAATTATTCTTCTGCGCAGCCAGCGAGCCCGGTAATATGGAGAGGAGAGCATTTTCTGGTGAAGGGGCCAAGGACTCACTATAGATGTTGTCATATATAGCAAAGACCTGTCGCCAGAAGGGTTGTATTAGGTCAAAATCCCACCAGATATGGAGCTGTGTACCAACAGCTTTTAGTACAGCGCCAGCATAGATTAGATGTAGAAGGAAATATTTTGTGTAGGAGAAGGGGTCCCTGTACCATGGAGAAAGGAGCTTAAAGTTCTTTTCTTGTGAATAACAAGAAATAGACGATTTATGAGTGAAGTGGAACGATGTGGACCAGTCTGCAGCCGAGATGTCTTTACCTAGATCTCGAGCCCACGCCTTGGTGTAGGAAGGGAGATCAAAATGAAGAGCATTGTGCAATACTTTATATAGGGAGGCTAGGACATGTCTAGGCAGATTAGAGAGGGAGCACAGCTGCTCAAACTCAGTAAGTGGACGATGAGTGTCGGAGGAAGAGTGTAGGTGTTTGCAAAATGCGGAAAAATGTAAAGTGGTCAACCAACCCCCAGGCCCACCCAGAAGGAGCCGAAGACCCGATTGAGGGCAAATAAAGTCTTGAGCTACGGGCCATAAGGTGCGCGTAAAGGGACCAATGACAGAAGAGCCCCACCCCTGAGGAAGAGCAGGGTTGTCAAATAGGGGTGATAAGGGAGAGGGATCAGACGATAAGAGGGCAACAATGCCCCGTTGATACCACAATCGCAGTACAGCCACAGTCAATGGGGATAGGCAGAGAAAACACTGGTGGTCCCAACTATAACCCCACGGCAAAGCCCGTAGGTCAACCGGAGTCAAATCTTGTTCAATCATACAAGAGGCTTTATGGAAGGGCCTGGGAAACCAGTCAAGCATCCGGGCTAGCAATGTGGCTCTATAATATAGTTCAAAGTCTGGTAAACCCACTGCGCCTTTGAATTTCGGGTACGTAAGTACCCTATATTTTAACCATGAGAAACCTTGGTTCCAAATAAATCTAATTGAAAGGGAACGTAGGGAAAGGAAGAAACTCTTAGGCACAGTAATCGACACAGTCTGGAAAACGTATAGTAACTTTGGTAAGGTATCCATTTAAAAGGGTGTTTATGCGGCCGAACCAGGGCTAAGCCAAAGCACCCCAGGACGCCAGATCTTTTCGGATACGAGAAAGCAAGGGTAAGTAATTAAGGGAATACAGAGCAGTAAGGTCAGCAGAAATCATAATCCCTAGATACCTAATAGCCTTTGGGCGCCATTGAAAAGAGAAATTGGAGAGCAAGTTCGCCAACACATGGGCAGGTAACGATACATTCAAGACCTCCGTTTTAGAGATATGAAGTTTGAAGTTACCGAAGAGACCGAATCTGGGGAATTCATGAAAAAGACTGGGAAGTGAAACAAGTGGTTGTTGGATGTATACTAAAAGGTCATCTGCGTATAAAGACAGTTTGTGATGCGCAGAGGGAGTGCAGATGCCCAAAATTGAGTCATTCGCTCGTATGGCTCTCGCAAGATGTTCCATTTCCAAAACAAAAAGAAGAGGCGAGAGTGGGCAACCCTGTCTAGTCCCATTCAAAATGGGGAAGGGTGA